GGGAGTTGATTACATTATTATTACTACTCATTAAAATTTTTTGAAACATATGGTGCAAGCACTGCCTAATGGTGAAAGAAAATACTTCTTCATTGCTTAGAGCTTTTCAAACTTGGCTTCTTAGAAAAGATAAGAATTAGACAGTGGGGCTTCATAGGTAGGTGGCTTTGAGCACAGGTAATAGAAGCAGGCAAGAGATGCAACAGTTTGTACATCAGCTGCCACAAAATGGAGCCAAAACTACTGAGGGCAATATATTGGTTTCTGCAATGGCGGCTCTGGGAAATATGTCTCTGGAGAAAAGAGGGACCCAGAAGAGCTGATAGATTTTTAAGGATCACTTGCTTTAATCTATCTTGATGTGCAGAAGGTCAATCCAGAAGGTAGGAGGATGGATTGAGAGCTTCTGATTAAAGTCAAACTGAAAGAGTAAGCGTGCAAGTGGTGGAAAATGCACAAGTGACCCAGGAGAAATACAGAGGTGCTGGAGGGATCATCTTAGGAAAGGCAAAGCTCATTTTGAGTTGAATCTGATGGGTGACTTGAAGGGCAACAAGAAAGGCTTTCTCAGGTCTTTAAACAGCAAAAGGAAGACTTAGGGAAAATGTGAGCTTTTTTTCCTGGTTGGGGCAGGGGGCCTGGTGAGAAAGACCACGAAAAAGGATGAAGTACTCAATGCCTTCTTTGCCTCAGTCTTTAAGACTGGCTTTGAGAGTCCTAGGTCCCTGAAACCAAAGAAGGAAATCTGGAACAAGGATGACTTACCCTCAGTGGGGGAGGAAAAATTTAAGGAATATTTAAGCAAGCTGACCATGGAACCTGAAAACATGCACCTACAAGTGTGGAGAGAGCTTGCTGATGTAATGGTGAGGCCAGTGTCAATTATCTTTGAAAGGTCCTGATGATCTGGTTCCTTAAGACTGGAAGAAAACAAATGCTACACATATTGTCAAAAAGGGCAAGAAGAGTCTGCAAAGTTACAAGCCAGTCAGCCTCACCATGATCCCTGAGAAGGTGATAGAGCAAATAATACTGGAGAAGTTTTGGTTCATATTGAGTTGACTGGGAATATAAATTTATAGAAGAAAAGTCATTCCTGATCAACTTGACTAGATGAACAGTCAAGGTGAAAGAGCTGTAATCAGCAGCACAAAGTCCAGATAAAAGCCACTAGTGATGTTTCCCAATGCCCAGTGTGCTCATCATCTTCACTGATGACCTGGATGATGGGAAATAGTGCATGCTCAGCAATTTAGCTGATGGTAAAACCAGTGAGGAGTGGTTGATGGTTCTGCTGCCATCAGATAGAACACAACACGCTGGAAAATGAGCTGATAGAAATTGTCAAGCATCACAGAAACTAATATATTCCTAAATTCATAATTTAAAAAAATCCTTGCCATCATTGGTTAAACTACAAAATTCCCATGCTTAATTTAACAGGTTACCAACTCCAGTCACTAGCTTTTGTTTTTCCTCTTACAGTTAGACTCTTAATCATACAATCTGTTCTTTATGTGGATACTTATATACCATGATTAGATTACCACTTGGAAAAAATTATCTTGGTATACCCTACATTTCTTACAGAATTTCTGGCAGATTTTCCTGATTTTTAATGGTACTTTTTCAATTCCCTCTGAAGTTGTTTTGTACTATTTACCTTCTTTACACATATTACAGCCACACCCACTAGTTCTCATGGATGTACCATAAGAGGAACTCCCTACCAGCTATGTCTACATATCTCTCAGTCTGTTCCATTTTGTATTTATGCTTTTCAGATATCTACAAATATCAAAATTAAAAAAAAAAAAAAAGAGAAAGCACTTAAAATAGGTGCAATACTACTTTCATGGAATGCAGCATTTTGTGTTTCTTTTATTTACTTCTGAGAAAACTGGACTTGCACTATTGAATTTACATAGTCTGAAATGATGATTTTCCCTTACATATACAGCCATAACTATACCAAAACAAAATTAATTCAACATTACAGAATGCATTTGTCCAGTATTTTAAAGTTTAGTGGGCCAGAAGTGGTCCAGCTCTTAAGGAGCAAGTGTAAGAATGTCAGTGCATTTGGTATTCTGTAAAGAAGAGACTTTAAATGTGTGACCTCACAGCACATTAATATAATGCTGTAGTCAGCAGCGTGGAAGATTAGTTTTGTACAGAAGGCTTTCTGTCTTTTTCATGTATGGAAAGAATTATTTTCCTATACCTCTGCCAATAAGTTTTCCTGTTATAGAAGAAATGCAAACAGGCAAGCTCAAACAGGGATTGTTGTCTTGGATACCTTAAAATTCTCCAAGCAAAATAAGCTTCTAGGTTTCCTTATTGGTGTATCTGTGACTATATTCCCAGCTTTTGGACACTTTTCTAACTGCAGCATTTCTTTGTGTCAATGTAAGATTAATTTGTGTGGAAATGGAATTGAACATCATGATAACAAAGTGTGTAGAGGTTATTCAGTAAGATCTGACAAGTTCAGAGATCACCAATAAACTAAGCCAGTTGAATTCACAACATAGCACCATTTGCTACATGCAAAATCATTGAGGAAAAAATCAGAAGGAAATGTGCATCTCACAGGGTTCTGCATGCATTATATAAACTCAGAAAAGTTCTCATTAGAAGATCAGAGAAGCCAGTGTAGACTATTTTCTGTATAAAGCCCAGTTAAAGAGTATGACAATAAGTGCAGAGAGAAAATAACATTATATTAATGCCATGAGCTTATCAGTTTTCATGTCATTAAAAAAAAAGGGAGTGATAAAAATCCATGAAAATGCAGGAAGAATGGTATTTTGATTATGGGGAAAGCAAATTTCCTTCCAAACAGTGACTGAAATAATTGTGATGCCTTAATTTACAGCAAGAAAAAGATGAGAATTAAACTCAAGTATGAGGTACTTGAAAAAAGTATGAAATAGTGAATGAGATAAAAAGAATAAGTTGAAAACAACTCTTTATATCTTAATGGAAGTACAAATAAGCTATTTGAGGAAATGAAAGTTGGACATTTCAAAATGTCGAGATGTGTTTTGACATGCATCATAGTTTCCCTGTGAAAATCACTGCATAACAATACAATTCTGCTTATTTTTTTAGGTGAGAGAGGGTTTGTGCATTTATCTAGACAGCAATTATGTATGTGAGTACCTGTATAGAAACATTCACGCACCTAAACTTTCTTTGAATATGACTCATTTTTATCCCAATAAGAATTTGATTTTCTATTTAACTTTTCATTAAATTAAGAGCATATAGATGAAAAGCTAAATAGTACAGTGTTGTTATAATAAACCATAGCAAATACTTTTTTGACAATGTAAACCTGTTTGTTTGGGATTTAAGAGTATTTAAAAATATTAGATATTAGAATAAGCAAAAAGCCCCACTCACAAACTACTATGTCGTACAGCCTACTATGCCCTAATTTTTGTGTGAACACTGACACATCTTCCTACATGTTGTTACTGGTTGCATTCTGAGGTAAGTCATTGAGATCTATATATCATGACTTCAATTTAATATCCCCTTTAATATTCTGGAAAAATTATAACTGGAAGATCTAATTGAATAGAAAGCATTTATAAGCAAGACAATAAAAAAACAGTGGAGAATGAGTTGGCCGAATGAGAATGAGTTTCTACAGAAAAAGATGAGGCTCAGACTTCATAAGCAGAAAAAGTTTTGTAAGGGTTAGAAGGGCTTTCTAATTATTTTCTTTCTGAGTTAAAAAATACCAACAAACCAAAACCAACACCCAAAGTGCAGGAACACTTTCTGTGAACACTGAGAGGAAACATATTCAAACTCATTGATAAATATAATTTTAAAGTCAAATAATCTTTTAACGAGTGACTTTTCTGAAATAGAACAACGTGTTTCTACACAGAAAGTGGAAACTTTACATTATTTTAAACTAAAAATGGACTTTTCTGCAAGAAGAAAATAAACCAGTTCTCTGAAACTTTAATGGTCTACTGTTTTCTGACTTTCTGATGAGTTCAAATCATGTGAAATGGAGTGGGGGGTAAAAAAAGATATTGACTTAGGAATAGAATTGTACTTAGCCTGAGATTTTTCAGAATGATGCTCATTTGGGGTGATGGATTCATAGAATGGAATTACTGAGCTCACTTTCTTGTAACAAATGGTAATTACCTCTAACTTATCTTCCAGAAACTTCTAAGCTTGACTGAAGATACAGTGAGAGAATTGATCAATTCCTTTAACTGGGTTATTAAAACCCCTCATAGTTAAAAATCTGTTTCTTATTTAAATATTTCCTTTTTAAACTTTCATGCTTTACATTTTGTTTTACTTTTCTTCAATAAATAAAAGAATCCTTACATATACAACATTGTTTTCCTGTGAAGGTATCTGGCTATTTCTTCTTTTGATAGGGTAAAACTGATGAAGCAGCTAAATATCTCACTCTAAGTTACTTGCTCGAGACTTTAAATGTGTTTTTTTTATTCTGTACGGATCCATCAAGCTTTTTGCTAGTGAAAAGTTGTGTATTTTCTTTTACATAATTGAAAAAAATGCTAAAAAAAAAAAAATCAGACTTCTTTCCCTTTCCTGTGGAACCCACCAATACCCCTTAGGTTGACAATAATTTGAGATCCATCAGCTATCCAATCCATACTTTTTGTGCTTTACTGCTATTCTAAAGAGCTAATTCATAATCAGAATGTTATAAGATACTAAGTCAAACCGTTTACAGAAATCTAAGAAGCAAACACTCTTCTCAAGGAATGAAATTAAGTTTGTGTAACAAGACCTGTTTTTCATAGAAATGTGTGGAGTGGCATTATTTTATTCTTGTTTGTTAATCCTTAATTAATCAAATCTCAAATTGGTGCTTCCATTTTTACTTTGAATATACAAGTTCATTTGTTGGTTGTGTTTTGGAAAACTTTTTTAATTTTTACTACTGATAGAGAAAGCATACTTTTATGTTCTCTCACTCTGTCTTCCATTTTTAGGAGTTACAGTGCTTGAAGGACCTATTTATGCGGTGGGAGGACATGATGGTTGGAGTTATTTGAACACAGTTGAGAGGTGGGATCCTCAAAGTCAGCAGTGGACATTTGTGGCAAGTATGTCAATTGCCAGAAGCACTGTTGGAGTAGCAGCATTAAATGGCAAGTGAGTAGGGTATGCTTACACAATTGAAACACTTTTCATAGAGGGATGAATAACTGATACACAGTAGTAACTAACTTTTAGCATACTGAAATTCAGGGTGTCTTTTGAAATAAATGTAGTCACATTTGGGCACACCCTCCTATATCTCATGGCTCATACGTTGATTCGAAATAAGTATTATTTTAGGTATATTCTATATTGGTTTTGTGTAATATTCTTATCAATGCTTAAGAATATAGAAATTTCAGTTTGTATAGTATAAAACAATTCAGGACAAATTGTAGTTGACTCATCTGACTTTTATGTGTCATATATGCCAATTCCAGTTAACCAAGTTTATCTAATTGTCCTAATTCCAACCACGAAAGGGTTAATTTTTGCAGTAGCCAGGAGACATCGTGGCCAGGACCCAGAGGTTATTCTATACCACCTCACTCTTTCCCAGGGCGGGGAAAAGGGACTAATTTCTGGGGAGAAGGGGTTCTTTCCGGTTGTGGTAGCATAGCACTGGTCCTGAGCCAGAGGGAGTGGTTGGGGGTAGAGTGGCTGTGGTTGGCTGTTGTCTATTGCTGGAGGTTTCCACGGTGAGCAGTAACATTTCTTTTCTTGTACCTTCTGCTGTTGGTATTGTAGCTGTCACTGTTCCTTGTCTTATTTCATTGGTCTTTCTGTAAATTGTTCTTATATCAAGCTGTGATCTTCACCATTTATGCCTCCAATTCTCCTTTCCAGCCACTCGCAGGGGGGAGACGTAGGGGACTGTGGGAAGCAAGTGAGCGGCAGCATGGTTTGGAGTTTCAGTGGGGATACTTAATTGGGGGGTACCATTCCTAAGACATGATACTAGTGCAGTCATGTACACAGCGATAAGATTTGGTGTAAATGCATTTTGTACCTTGCTTCAGCCAGACATTGACCCATGAAACCTTATTTGTCTGAAGGCGACTACACTCACCCACAAGTAATGTCATGGTTTGACCAGCTCCCCGCTCTGTGGAGTTGGAAGATGGCTAGAGGCAGGGTACTAAGATCCTGCACCCTATAGAAGAGAGAGAGATATTTTCCAGCTACGGCAAATCGGAGCTGTAATCCTGAGAGTAAAGGAGAGACTTCGTCTTCTCCTCCTGGACTTTATGTGGGAGGAGAGGTGATTTTTGTAAATACATGATTTTATTATCATAGGAGAATTAGTTAGGATTGTTGTATATATTACTTTATAGTTTTTATTCTGTTAGCAATAAGTTTTGATATAATTTCCTCCGTTTTGCCAGAGAAGGGGCAGGGGGGAAGGGAGGCTTTTTGCTGGGTCTTGGGGACTTAGCGAGGAGCCAAATCAAAACTAAGACAAGTAAACAGAAATTTTGTTCTTGTCAAAACAGACTACCTCAAACCTATAATTCTAATCGCGTTCATATTCTAAATTTCTCTTTTATAACTTTCACTTTTTAGGTTTTAATGTGGCACTTATTAAAACTCATTTTATAGTAACATGACATTATGTGTTCCTTGTTACTTACAACTTTAAAAGTACTTACTTTTAGCTAAAAAATTATGGTATGAACTGAAATAATTTATAGGTGGGGAAGAATTCATCACACCCAACTTCAGATATTTTTTCTTTAGACATCTACTACTGTTCCAATCATACTAAGCTTCCTCTATGGTCAATGAAAGAAATAGGAACTTTTAGGATATTGTTTGTCTTACCTATTTTAGACATCTATGTTCAGACAGTATGAATTGTGCTCTGTAAGTGCCCATTTTTCTCAAATTTTCTTTCTATTCAGGAAACCTCAGGACTCTGTCTCAGACCCTGACTTCCAAGGTTTTGATATTTAAGCAGGAAAGGTGTTTCTCACTATAGAAAACTGAACATAATAGGGGACAGTCAGTAAAGAATCCCTGGAAAATAGTGGGAGCAATGGAATAAAATTTTTGGAATATTGTTTTCCTCACACTTTATTGCTACTGAAAAAAAAGGAAGAGAGGATGTGAAACAGCTGCAGTTGTGGAATAGAATGAAACATTAAAAAAAAATTAATAAAAGTTTGGATTAAAAGTATATAGGGATAAAAAAGGACTTATTAAGGGTATTGTGTTTCATGATAGACTGTGCTACTGCATAATTCAAGAACCCACTGAATTTCACCCACCCCATTTCTTCCAGCTGAAAATCACTCAGTTTTGATTATACAGTTGTAAAAATCTCTTAGAAGTCCTTTTTACTAGATTTTGCTTATTACACCTAAGATACAGGCCTGATATTAATGGGTTGAATTGATTTCTGGGATTGTCAGACTCTTCCCACTGACTGTAAGTCACTGAATATAATAAAAATCAAACAAGAAGCTTAATTTAGCCTTTTAACAACTATCTTACATTAGGAAGTTGTGTACCTTTCTGTAGCAGCAACAGGAGACCTGACAGATTATCCATAATTCCATCATTATAACAATATACAGGTTGCTTTTTTTAAATTTATCTCAAATTAATTAAAACTACTGGCTTTAAAGGTCCTAGTTCATTTGTAAACATATTGCAGTTATGTTCTATTAGCATAATGACTCCAATTAAATAGGCTTTATTGGATGCATTCATTATTAATATTTTATTATTTAATTCATGGTATGAATCAGTGATGATCTCTCAGATGATCCACCTCTCATCCATGACACTAGGAGTTAGTTTTGTGTTGTGAAATCATTTGAAAACCAATGAAGCTTAACTGTCATTGCTTTGTCTTATTAAGTCAAACTGGCATTGAAATGTTCCAGAGTAGATCAAATGGACAAAGCTGCTTTAATAACCCTGTTATTCTAAAAGAATCTGGTTTCAATAGTGCATAAGCCATGAAGCAAACTAGCAGAAACAAGATCTAAACAAATAACCCCTCAAATATTGATCTAAAATCATGAAGATCTGCATATAATTATGTATATATATTCCGGGTATATTTCTTTTGCACAACTGAACATATATCTAATGCTTCCCAGTTATAGGATACTCAATTGAATTTTGCATTACTTATATCACATTTAAAATGAAAAGAAATGTTATCTGTGTCCCAGAAAAGTAGAATGGACATCACTGAAAACTGAAAAGCAGTGGTGTCACTGAAACAAATGGAAATATATTATTGATTTATTTTTTTTTTAATCTGAATAACCGTCTTCAAAAAATATTCCATTTTCCAGGAACTGATACTTGAAAACATATGTAAGAACCAAATCTTTCAACTCCCTAGTGCTATTCTTACTACACTGCTGTTCCACACAACTGACATATGCTGCATTCCTCAGAATATTGGAAAGGGATATCTCAATGAGCAACAAGATGTTGGATTTATCATTCAGCAAGGGAGAAACTATTTTGGCATGGAAGTCCTGAGGAGTTTTTTTCCTGGTTATTCCCTATGTTCTTCTGCACTGAATTAAATAATTATGAAATGCATTCGACATTTTTAAATTTAAACTGAAAATTTTATATCAAAATCTTTCCTAAAAATTGAAAAGGTTTGTGTCAACATGTGCATCATAATCTAATCTGAAAAATATTTAATTATTGAAGCCATAAAATCCTGCTGAATTTCTTGGAAATTCAGAAAAATAAGTATCTGAAGTACGTTTTTTAAACTTAGTCCATTTCACAAGGTTCTTTTGTATAATCATGTTGCATTATTACATTTTTAAGTTGCAGTACTGTTTCACCCATAAGGCCTTAATGGAATATCTTCCTGTCCAAGCACAAAGGTCACCTGGTTTGTTAACTTCAGATTTCCCAGAGGAATAGGATACAGTAGTCACTATCCATCAATAAGGAACACAACAACAATAAGGCAATATTCATTTTCTTAAATGTGATCCTACATGTAGGGAGCTGCTAGAACAACTAATAAAAGAGATACGTGGTTTTCTAGATAAAAGAAAGACACATGACAGATTTATTTTACCACAATTTCAACGAAGCAGTTTATCTGGTGTTACATAGGAAATAAGAAGTTACAGGGATTTGAAGAAGAAAAGAACTTCTAGTTGTTGTATGCAACACATTTACCCCTGGAATTCTTTAAAGATTTGCCTTGGGATAAAAGAGTGTAACAGCAAGAGCACTTTAGTTAAATTATCATTAGACCATTCAAAGTGTCACCAAAGGGAACAATATCATGTGGGTCACGTTGGGCTATTCTACAGAATTATTTGGATAACCCTAAGAAGCAACACAAATAGGATGTTTAATAGTATATATGTGAATTGACAAGTCTTGTGTTTGAAGAAATTTAATGTGAAAGTGAAAGAAGCCCAGTACCTTGTGAGCACAGAGAAAGAACAGTAGAAGAAATCTGTGGACAAAGAAAAGGAAATGCTACTGAAGAATACATAAACTGTTGCTAATAATGGAAATACTTATGTTATTTGGATTACTGTGTGAAATCTGATCATGCATATTGAAGGAAGTTTAACTGAAAGTGCAAATGCTATATAGGGTGTACCATGACTATCAAGAATGCCTATTACAGTTGACAAAGGAATAGGCGCATAAAAATAGCTAAAATTCAAGTGGGAAAGTAGAGATGGAATGAAAATAATACAGAGACAACAAGAACATATACACAAAACTCTCTTCAGTTCTAAATGAATGTTTATTGGTTAACAGAAAGGGTTATGTATTTTCATGCAACACCAAGGAGAATTTTCTTTTTCAGTAACATTTTTGTTTTCCCAAATCAGCAATTAGTTCTGTGTACCACTAACAATGTGTACTGAGGCTTTGGAGATCCCATCACCTTCATCCTCATGTGTTTCTTATAATCAAATAGTACATATATAAATATAATTATTTATTGTTAATTTGATGTCTTTATCAAATTTTAACACCTGGTAGGTGTTGTAGGACTTGCCACCGTAGAATATCATGGGATGAAACATGGTCCTGATCTGGAAACAGCACCATCCTTTCCACCTTGTTAACAACCTGTTGCACAGACTGGAAGAGAAAGAGTG